CACTTGTCTATCATTCGTGACATGCACAGGGGGTGTATCTAGAGCCATTTCCTTTAAGATCACGTCTGGTAGGGAATACTTCAGCTCCACCATCTCGCTTTTCTTGTTCAGATCATAATCTTCTTGAGCCATTTCAAGAAGTTCACCATGTGTACAACCATCATGGACAAGGAACATTCTCACTCCTTTCCGATTATCGACCTCAAACTCCCACAAAGAGTCTTTCACCACCCATTCTCTGTATACAACAGGTAGTTGAACCATTTCCTGCAAAACAATACGGTTTACATAATTAGCAAACCAAAATTTCATGTTTGATAAAATTATATCATAGACTTACAAGTACGTCTACAAATTTTAAGCTAACAGCATAGACAAACAAAAAATTTGATAACTTCCTAATTATAACAGATTATCTTATGAAAATCATTCAAGACACTTATGATTAACTAACACACACTTTCATAAAAAAAAGTTTTGAAAAAACTTAATGAATAATACACAAATCCACTTTTGATAGATTTTACATGGTAGACTACATATTCAATCTACAGACGTGTAGACGTTTTATTCAGTTTAGAGGTTGTAGACTGGACATTAGGTCTACGTTTAGGTTGGTTTCTGCAATTGCCAAATTCACGGGTTACTTTTTGTATTTGAAAAAAAATGTGATTTTATACGAGTAGACTTACTTTTTAGTCTACATTTTTTAAAAGGTTAGTTTTGCAATTGACCAGAATTCGATCAGATTTTGACTTTTAGAAGTAGACCTATTATGCAGTCTACATTTTTAAATTTGTTTGAAAGAGGTTAGTTTTGCAATTGACCAAAGTTGACTTTCTACGAGTAGACAAAACTAAATGTCTACGTAACTGTAGACTGCAGTAAAAGTCTACATTATAACCCGACAGGTTAGTTTTGCAATTGACCAACATAAAATAGTAGACTTCTTATGCAGTCTACTTTTTTTTTCNACAGGTTAGTTTTGCAATTGACCAACATAAAATAGTAGACTTCTTATGCAGTCTACTTTTTTTTTCTAAGTTTTGTAGACTGCATATGAAGTCTACACGTAAAGTAAGTTTTTTTCTAAGTTTTGTAGACTGCATATGAAGTCTACACGTAAAGTAAGTTTTAGTCAAATACAAAAGAAACCTATTCAACGAAGTCAAAGTTTTGGTCAAATGCAAAACTGACCTTCCGTAGACTTACCTAGCAGTCTACAAAATGTAGACCTCCACGAAAGTCTACTATGGTAAGTCAAAATTTTGGTCAAATGCAAATCTAACATGTTTTATGTAGATTTCTTAGTAAGTCTACCAATTTTTTTGTTTTTGGTTTCAAAGGTAAAGATGTTGACGTACTTGTAGGTCTACATTACAAAAAAAATTATTTTGGTCAATTGCAAAAGTAACCTGTGCGTTGACAAGTAGACTGCATCGTAAGCCTATACGTATGTGTAGACATATAATACAGTCTACGTTCGCGATACAGATCAGAGATATGACGAAAAGCATGTAAAGAGTTACCTTGACACGGGTTTAAAGCTTGTTTCCAAGCTTTTCCACCGTCCAGAATCCAAATATGAGCAAAAGAAGCAACCTTTACGATCCACTTGTGGATAAAATCGAAACTATGAAGTTTGTGTTTATGAAAATGAGAGTTATGAGGATTGTTTAGATGAAAATAGAGAGGAAATGAAGTATTGTTTGTTTAGAAAGTGAAATAAGTGGTTGAAATTTCATAAACACAAGCTTAAAGAGCTCATCAATTGTGGTTTTGGGTGGTTGCAAATATTGATGACAATGGCATTATGGTAGATAAGGAGAAATGTTTAGGGTGTAATAGGTTTTTTATAATTTTCGAAAATAAAATCAGATTTAAAAATAATGGCAATTTGGTAAATAGGTGGAAACATGAGGAGAGTTTAGGTTTTTTAAGAATGAATAGTATTGACAAAAAAAAGAGGTTGGTTTTGTGTTTGACTTGAATTTTTGGGTTGGTTTTGCAAAACCCCCCATTATATTATTACTTAAAAATATAAATACAATAATAGTTAAAGCTTTAGTAATGTGAAAATACAAATAAAACATAGAAATAATATGATATATTTTTTTAACTGTAAATTAAAACTAATTAATAAAATTAATCTATTTATAATTAAATAAAAGGTAATAAAATACATTATTTTAATATATGGTGTGATGAATAGTGTTATACCAAATAATAATATTCACTCTACACCAAATTTAGTGGGATGGTGTAATTTTTAGTGTCTCAATGGAGATGAGATCACACCAAATTTGGTGTTTTGGTGTATCATTGGAATTAACCTAATGTAATTACTTAATTTGTTCTAATAATATAAAATTAAAGAATTATTATGGAGGATCTATAAATTGTTATCAAATATTTCTTATCTAATATCATTAATTTTCATATTTATTATAAATCACATTAGGTAAATATGTAATTTTTTTTTGTTTTTTTATTAAGATTTATTTGCAAACATTTTCTTAATAAATGGTCCACTGTATGATATACTAGTCATGGGCATTCGGGTTTTCGGTTCGGATTGGTTCGGTTTATTCGGTTTTTGGGTTATTCGGGTTGGAATGTTTAGGAATAAGACATATTTCGGATCGGTTTGGTTCGGATAATGCCGGGTTTAGGGTCGGATTTCTTTTTTTTTTATAAAACTCGAAGTAAAACCGTATTAAAATAATTCGGGTTTAGTTCGGGTTTGAAGCCCAATAAACCGAAAAAATCCCGAAGACCCGAGTTAAATCCGGAAAACGCAAAAAAATATTCGGGTTTTTCGGGTAGTTCGGATTTTTAGATATTTTATTTATAAGTTATATTTTAAATATATTAAAATTAAAACTAATTAATATTTTTAATATATTCAAAATATTTGCGTACCCGTTTGGTTCTCGGTTCGATATCAGTTCGGTTTCACTTTCGGATTTAGAAATATAGAAACCATTCGGATTTTTGTAATTCAGACCGGTTTCGGTTCGATTCCGGTTCAGTTTTCGGATTTCAGATAATATGCCCAAGACTATGATATACGATCAGAGTCCTAAAATAATTCTAGCAACTTTATTCTTTTTACTACGGAAAGAGTTGTGGTGTTAACATCTAAGTATGCTACTCAATGTTACAACTTGAAAAATATTTTTCAATTAATAGATAACGAATTGTAAATGTTTATTCTCTTAAAATATAATATTATTCTCTTGAAATATAATTAATCACAATACTAATACAAGTCTAGCACAAAAGATATAAGAAACCATATAATCCTTAATTATTGCTTCCATTTAAAGAACATACTTTGAGTTTTGATAATAATATTCAAAATCAGTAAGAAGAACTCAGTCATGTTGTTCAATAGCTTCAGGTAGCTTGCCATTACATGGCCGATGAGAGGCGCCAAAAACAGACCATAGATTCTTAGTGTTAGTTGAATTATCTCATAAGGCTTCCCCAGAAACCCTGAAATATTCAAATGCATTTTTAAGAAAACATCTCAGATTTATAGTTACAAATTTTAGGACAGTATTTATAACTAAATATAATAAAAATCAGAAAACGTACAGTCTGCAACTTGTGGGAATTCGTCGAACAAGAACGTTATGTTCTTTAGCAAAGTCTGGAAAAATAATTCAAGATAACCAAATAATAAAATTTCCAGATAACAAAGTAATAAAATAATATAAAAAATCATCAGAATATTAATGATTGTCGTTCATTTATTCATTTAAAAACTGTGAGTAAATTTGGTAGAAAAAAACTGTGAGTAAATATTTTTACCAATGCAATTCCTCCCGGTTTAATTGGCGATTCAACCAAAATCCTCGCATTTCTGAAAATATTTTGTTAAGTTACTTATGAGATTATTGGTTTTGATAGAGAATTCTTCCAACAAAAAAATCACGATCATAATAGTTCACAAAATAAATAGTTCTAACATATTAATATCTCCCAAGGAAAATTATTTACCTTATAACCAGTATTCCTCCTTCGTCGGTAAATTCATAGAAGCTGCATCCTCTCGTAAAGGGAATTGTATGTCCTTTCCATTCTTTTTAACAACGGAAAGAGAAGAAAAATCATGATATATTGAAGAAAAGATTTATCACCATACTTCGACAACATATTTTTTTTGGGAAAATTTCCTATAAATACCCCAACTAAATTCTATTAAACTTTTTAATACCTAAGCTTTTTCGCTACCCAATTTAATATCCCAATTAATTATTTTACCCATTTTAATGCATAAACTTTTATAAATGTGTTCATTTTAATACCCAGTCTTTGTTTATTTTAATTAACAATACAAATAAGTTTTCAATAAAATTTTTAAAATTTCTAAACTTTACAAAAAAATTGATTTTATTATATGTTAGAGAACTGAAATTAAATATAATTTTTTATAATCTTAAGTTTTGTAATAAGTTTTTTAAGTTTTATATCTTGAATTTAGTTTATTTTCTGAAATAAAAAGTAAATTATTTTTTTCCTTCAAAATTATTTTTTTTAAACATTTAAATTTTCTCCAGAGTTTATTTACCTTCTTTCTTAAATCTTAGAATAAACTTAGAAATTTTAAATATTTTTCTTAGATTTTTGAGATTTTTTAAAATTTTATTTGAAAATTATTAGTATTGTTAATTAAAATAAACAAAGTTTGGGTATTAAAATGGGCACAGTTATAAAAATTTGCATATTAAAGTGGGCAAAATTATTAGTTGAGGTATTAAACTGGGTAGTGAAACAATTTGGGTATTAAAAAGTTTAATAAAATTTAGTTGGGATATTTATATGGAATTTTCCCTATTTTTTGTTGTAAAAGTAAAGAGGTTTGTAATTTATAGTGCTAATTCAAACATCAAGACTCAAAAGATAAAACAATCTTCGCAAAGAAAAAAAAAGAAGTATATAAATAACGATTACTATTCAATCAAGTATAATTTGGCTTTAATGATGTATTAAACGTACAAACGTACAAACGTACCCAGATGCCAATTGACAGCAGCAGTATATCCATCTCCTTCGCAAACATTTTCAACACAAAACTTTACGTTTGGTCCCATACTGTTCACCAGTTCTTGAAAGAACTTCACAGCTTCCTACACAAATACATTTACCTTCATATTTATTAATTTACTAACAAAACCAAATTTCGAAATGTAAATTTTGCATACACACAGAAGAGTTTCCATTTAAAAAAGAACTTGCCTTTTTCCCATGAAATGGTTTAGAGAAGGAAAAATCATCGACAAAGCAATCATTGGAGATGCAACTACTTAGTTGATTTTGATTCTTCTCATTGATAGACGAATAAAACTTCATAACAGCGTCGTATCCCGAGAGCTGATTTGGCATAGACATAGGTTGATCTAAACACGAGACCACGATACTTCTCCTTGAGCCATACTTCTTCATCTTTTTTATTGGACCATTCCTGATTGCATTGACCCTGGAGTATTGTAGAGAAGGTAGATCGGGTTTGAGATGCAAAATTTTGAAATTGGTAATGAGGTTTTTAGAAACCATTGGACTCATAATATTGACCATAGAGGCCATTGGTTTGTCTACTATAAGATCTTGTGAAGTTTTTGGTGGAGAAATTGGAAATCGTAAGAAAACTAATTTGTAAAATGTATTATGGTAGAAATGAAGATTGATGTTTGCTATAATCATGTGTTTAATATGATATGTTCTTACAAAGTTCTTTACTTGTTCTAGGTTGCCTCGTGTTACAAGGAATCTTATAGCATCTCTTACTCTCCCGTATCAAGAAATCCAAAGCATCTCGTTCGAAACGTTCTAATTGTGTATTCCTTAATTACAAAAAAATAATGTTTTAACATCTCGGGTATACCAACATCCCGGTATTAGACATCGATTTCATTTTGAATTATGAAATCTTGGTTGAGTTTGGTTTTGTGCCAACTATAAGCATTTTCTCATTTCATGAGTTTTTAGACATGTGTGTATGTCTTAAAGATTAAAGAAGCATATGATCAGTGCCGGTCCAGATCCGAATGGCGCCTAAAGCGAACAAACAAAAAATTGCCCCCATTATAATTTGTTTTTTTTTTTGCATAGTCATATGTGGAATCAAAATCATGCAAAATATCAATTTTATGCATTTCATATTATTTTGATATCATTAATAACTCGTTTTGTTGTATGTGATACATACTTTATACTTGAACATAGTTATTTTTATTGTTGGGGAAAACGAGACATGGCGCAGTGGAATATGTGTACAAATTCCCCCGATCTTGTGTGAATATATGAGGAAAATACTTCGACGATAGCAGGATATAATATAAGCGATAACTAAAATGAGACAAGCACTTTTTACGTGGAAAACCTCCTCGATGTGAGAAGAAAAAACCACAGGACCGTAGTCCACTCAACAATCCACTATATAAATGTATGTGAGTACAACCACGTCCTCCCTGTTCAACAACCTGAACAGAACAGAGACTCAGCTACAAATAGTTATCTCCAACACAAGAACAACAACAAGAGAGCAACAACAAGCTTCAAAACTGGCAGTAACCAAACGACCTCAGCTCACAAGGATTCCGGCAACCAGAGACTAATCCCACCGTACAAATCCAAGATACACAAGTCAACAACACCTCTGCCAAATTTCAGCTCAAACAGAAAAGATCTCATCGTCGGATTTACCAAACATTCAAGACAGCACTGCTAAAGAACTGTGACGACCAGCTTCACGAAAACGCAGACAACAGAAGATCCAACCGTTGAAATCCAAATCCCTTCGGTGAACCTTTAACCAACTTAATGAAGAAGCCTCCCACAAAATATCAGCTCAAAAAGAATCTGTTTGACCCTCCAAATCTTCCTTGACAAATCCAGACGAAATTCTGCCTCTTTCTCTCTTTTGTCTAAAACTTCTTTTCTTTCTTCTTGTGTATTTTTAAAAGTCTTACCACAAAATTAGGTTAAAAGACTTTATATAGTGTCTCACTAACCCTAAGGCCCAATACTAATCTCATGGATAAATATCATTGGCCCAATATCCAAGTTTGGTTATCACCAACCAAACCCAATGGGTTTCCTCCATCTAGAAGGAACCCAACAAACTCCCCCTCCGACTAGGTGGAGGAAACAGCCATTCCGACTATCCCTCGGCATACTTCAAGCTTCCTCCTAGGTAAAGACTTTGTCATCACATCAGCCCCATTATCATCCGTATGAACTTTCTCAAGTTCCACTTCCTTAGAAGCAACCACATCTCGTATCCAATGATACCTCTTCTGAATGTGTTTTGACTTCGAATGAAATGTAGAGTTCTTACCGAGACAAATTGCGCTTTGACTATCACAAAGTAGCGCATACTTTTCTTGCTTGAAACTGATCTCTTCACAGAAGTTCTTCATCCACAACAACTCCTTACAAGCTTCAGTTGCAGCAATGAACTCTGCCTCAGTGGTAGATAGTGCAACGCACTTTTGCAGCCTTGACTGCCATGCCACAGCTCCACCCGCAAATGTTACCAAGTAACCCGAAGTAGACTTGCTAGAATCAACATCTCCAGACATGTCAGAATCAGTG